CTGTCAGAAAGTTTCTCCTTATTTCCAGGTTAATAAATAAAAAATATCTGAATGTTTCCAGGTAAAAAAATAACATAACATCTTAGTATATCAGGGTTTGATCAATTTAAGATTGTATTAGCTTTCATGAATTATTTGCTCATAGGAGTAACATTAAATATGGCATCCATCGAGAGACATATGAAAAAAGAAAAGGTACCGTATTTTCCGGACTATAGAGCGCATCGGAATAGAAGCCGCACCCACTAAATTTTAAAAGAAAAAAATATTTTTACATAGATTATCCGCACCAGACTATAAACCGCAGATATATACGTTGTGAAATGAGATATTTACACAGAAAGAGAAGTTTGCTCTTCGCATGCAGCCAGACGTCTCCAACGTCTCACCATTGATTCATTAACGCCAAGCTTATGTGCAGCAGTTCTATTTCCTTCCTGGATAGACAGATCGATTGCTTTCAACTTAAAAGCTGCATCATATGCTTTTCTTCGTGTCCTTTCCATGATGAGGGTGTGAAAAATATTTTGCGTTCGTGCGTGTCGTGCTGCTTGCGTCGAGCGCGCCAAAAACTACCGGTAGCGTTGTCTTCTTTGCATTGACCTCTTGCGTCTGTCACGTTTTTGCGCCCCCTGATGGCAGTTAGTGAAGAAAAATCTATAGATAAGCCGCATTGTTGTACAAGCCGCAGGGTTCAAAGCGTGGGGAAAAAGTAGCGGCTTATAGTCTTGAAAATACGGTACATCGGATTAGCTTGCTTAATATTCAGTGATAAATCCAGTCTGCAAACTATTTAAAAACAAAGGCCAAAAAGGAAACAAACAGCCCTGACCAGATTATTGGGGGTCAGCCCTGACCTCATTATTATACCCCAAGCAAACATATAGATAAGTAAAAAACAACACAACAGGTAAGAACAACGAAAGATAACACAGTGTATCCAAGCAAGCCCTATTTAACAGGCATTCAATATTCCTGATCAAGGCAAGAGGACAAGCATCATAAAAAGTCAGAAAACCCCACTTTCTGGTGTCAAAGCACTGACAGTATTGCCTAATTTAGGGAACTTTACTAATTGATAAGGTACTTGTAACCTGCATTTGCATAAGCAACCTTTCTCCCATTCTCTATTCTCCAAACTTCTGTAGTCAGTTGCAGTTCAATAACAATTTTTAATAACAATTGTTAGAAAAGGTGCTATCAAACTCCTGCTCTTTGTAAGAAAAGAAAACCAGGTCAGCGAACACCAAGATCCCAACATTTCAATCTTGTGGTAGACGTATTCTCCATTCTAGCTGTTGTATATGTGCATCATCACCCTTAAATCCCAGCTTTGAATTCATTTCATTTTTTATTACCTGACAGTTTTTCCAGTTTTAACAAATACAGCATATAGAAACAGCCATCACTAATATTAATATAAGAATATTATCCTCAACACAAGTAGTCCTCAACTTAGCACAGTTCATTTAATGACCATTGCAACGGCATTGAAAAAAGTGACTTATGACCATTTTTCATACTTAACTGTTGCAGCATCCCCATCATCACATGATCAAAATTCAGATGCTTGGCAACTGACTCATATTTATGACGGTTGCAGTGTCCAGGGTCATGTGATAGCCTTTTGCCACCTTCTGACAAGCAAAGTTAATAGAGAAGCCAGATTCACGTAACAATCATGTTACTAATTTAACAACTGCAGTAATTCACTTTACAACTGGCAGAAGAAAGGTCATAAAATGAGGGAAAACTCACTTTGTTAATCTTACTTAGCAACAGCAATTTTGGGCTCAATTGTGGTCATAAGTCAAGTGAAGTAATTAGAAAGAAAGTATTTTATAATAAAAGATAATTTTCTTTGTTTTTCTAAGGATGACAGTCCTCGAGTGTATCATCCCACTCCTGGTCCTTTGCCTATAATTTTAGTCATGGACCACATTGTTCTTCATTGTAAAGATGATGGAATATTCTATATAACAGGTCAGTACCCTGCATTCCAGTAACACTGGCTTATATGAGGCTGCAGTTACTCCCAAATCTCGCACCCTATTTATGTGTTGGAAATGTGTTATGTCTGGGAATTGCCGATATTAGATTGTAGTACACATATAGTGTGTCAGTTTGATGAAAACTATTATCTGTCTCAGTTTCTCTTTGTTGTATCTGCTGCACTGTAGTACATTAGGTAAGTTCTAATATAGCCCGACAGAGATGCAGTTAAATATTGTCGTTCAGCGATCTGACTCCATTATATTTAGTTGCTCAGTTCAAAAAAGTGGAGATGCTAAGCTAGAAGAATTACTGTTGTGTAATTGCAGAGATATTGTGTTATACTTTACTCTCCAGCTGCAGAGAGAGAAGAATCTTCTACCCAGAAAACAGGCCAGAAAAATCTTAAGAAACAGCATGTTCCAGTAGAGAGAATCTCTAGAGTTTCAGCGGGAAGTGATGATGAACCAGAGGTATGCCCTATATGCCCCTTACCAAATAGCTTGCAATCACGAAAGAAAAGGTGGTAGACAAAATATATTCTCTGTACCCATGTTTATTTTTTTCTGGGGGTATTTACTTCTTTGTAAGTACCATAAATAGGTTGCTTCTGAAAACCCTCATTTCAGCTTCCCCCTTTCATTTTTGGAAAAGGATGTTGCCTTACTAAGACCTTTTTAAAAGATTGTTATTAGAAATAGGGCATTGAAAAAAAGATATTTAATAATTGGTTTTCATCAAAAGCTATGATATTGGGATATACATTAATTCAGATATTGCTGCAAAGTGCCTATGATTGGAATAAAGAATAGTGACAAAAACCAAAAACCATATGATATGATATGATATGATGGTCTTTAGTAACACAGCTTATTAGTATTTAAATAATAAATCTCTAGTACTACAAAGAGATCATATGCTAATTAGCATATTTGTAACTTCATTAAAACAAATCCCAACTCTAATTATATTGATTGACTGTAATCTTAAAAAAATCCTCTTAGAATTAGGGTCTGTCATTTGTTGCTTCTTTTTCCTCTTTCAGAGAACTCCAGTTTATTTTCAGGAAAAAATAAATAATTCAGGCAGGAAAGGCAGCATTAATTGCATGTGTTACACTATGAAACTTAGGCACTCAGTGGTATAAAAATTATGTTATTTATTGTAAGACAATAAGCATGAATTCTGCTTTATTTTGTTCAGTGAGGCATGCTAATTCATGCTATTTTATTGCTTTTGCTTGCCTCCCCCTAAATTTGCTGCTCTCTAGGGGAGCGAATACTGAATTGCTTTTCAGATTGATAATAACAGTTGGAAATCTGATAACATTCTCTTAATAATCCCTTATAAGAAGTGCTGAAATTAGTTACTGCATTAAATTCTTGGCTTCCAATAAATAACTAGATTTCTCAGTCTGCTAGTAATTTTCCCGGAAAATTTATTCTAGTTATAATTTCATTCATTTATTGTATTCATCCCTTGCTTTAACTCCTAATCACTGCACTGACTAATTTTTTTCATCTTCACAACAATCTTTTGAGGTATGTTAGGTTCAAAGGTCATGAATGTCCCAAAATGATTCATGGCTAAATAAAATTTGAATTCAGATCCAATACTCTTACCAGGCCAAGTTTACCCCACATTTTACGATTTTGTTTTGTGTTTTGCAGTTGAAAACAGAATTAACTTTGGAGAAAGAGTTAGAGGATACTCGGAGAGCTCTTGCAGAAGCCAATCAGGACAAATTACATCTGCTGCAGGAAATCAAGAAATATGATCCTCTCTTCCAGCTTTGACAACAAAGACCTGAGCAAGAGATACTCAGAGCATTGAGAAATTACTACCAGCATTGAAAAGGTTTACTTGTTAAAAGCAAAGCAGTTGATTTGTTCATCTTCATTCAAGAGCTGCTAGTTTGAAAACAGAAGCAAAATGCCATTACAAGGGATGGAAGCAGAAATGTAGCAAGAAAGTACGTGGGAATAAGATGAACGGGAGACTGGATTTAGTAGCCCAGCTGTGTCTGGAAAACATAAAACTGTACTGTAGCTAAAGCATGGCACTTTTGTCAGTTGAATAGTGAGAGAAGAAAAAAATACTTGAGTTATCATAAAGCAGTGCTGATAAACATATTTCTTGCTATGAACTGTTTCTTATAGGTAGGTGTTGGGAACATGGTCACCCTACACCAAAGAAATTACATTCTGCTTAGCTCAGGCCTGATTAGGGAATTCTGCTGTAGCAACATGAGTGTGAAATATGGAATGGAACAGCGGTGGGATTCAATTTTTTTTTACTACCAATTCTGTGGGCGTGGCTTCATGGGCGTGGCAGGGGAAGGATACTGTAAAATCTCCAGTCACAGGTGGTATTTACCAGTTCTTCAAACTACTGAAAATTTCTGCTACCGGTTCTCAAGAACTGGTCAGAACTTGCTGAATACCACCTCTGGAATGGAGATACAGTTACAGACCCAACACAGGAAAAAAGTGCGCGGAATAGAAAATACAAACTCCATCATCTTACTACTCTAAGAGAAAAGAGTTGAGGGCCCCCCACAATTTCTCATGAAATTATATTTTCTCTAATCTCCTTTCCTCATAATATGGTAATCTATTAATGTAGTATTGATACACTAACCCTCCTTGTGCTTCCTTGTGAAGTCCACCTCCTCATTAAAATGGATTTACAGCCATTTTGGAGTATAATTTGGTGAGAAAGTGCCTGACAAAACATTCTGTCCTTATTAATGAAAATATAGATAACTTTTATTTTCCAGCTAACTAACTAATAATATTGGAAAGGCTTGGAAATGAGATCTGTCAAATCGCTTTAGGTCATATATTTAAGGAATCTGTTTGGTAAATAATAAAAAAAAATCTGCAAGATGTGTAATGCTGCTAGAAATTGTTTTAGCTGTAAAATGGTTGACCTTTTTTCCTTTGTGCGATCACTTTTGGAATGAAAGAAAAACAATTTGGCTCTAAATATACTATAGCAGTGTTAGTTTTCTTAAATGTTTCTAAAAGGAGAATGATATGTCCAAAGAAATGTTAAAAGTTATATATTGCTTCCCAAAATAGTTATGTACCCATAACTATGCCAAAATAGAACATAGAAACAAATAATTGCTAATAATCTGTCTTATAATAGACTATAAGATTTTCAATTAAAGTTACCCATAGCATCCAACTCTAACAGAAAACTCTCATGGATTTTAATCTAGATTTTTATGACTTAGTTTTAACCATGTGTAGAATGCATTTATTATAACCTGCTGCAACTGCAAATCAAATAGATAAGTGGCAGAATCTAAAGTGAACCAATTCTGAAAGCATACCAAAGGCAAAGATTCCTTTGTTTTGAGTTAAAACTCCTGGTGATTATTTGGGCAGGTAAAATTTAAAATCTGAATTTATCCTTGTGAAAGAATTGCGGCTAGGTCAAGTTCCAGTAGCATTTCTCACTAAAATGTAGTTTTAACTAAGTCTGATTTTCTTACATAGAAAAGAGTGATTTTTAAAATAGAACGCTGAGTCTTCTTATAAATACTGTAGATATAGATACTCCAGGTTTTTTTAGATCAAGGCATGAAAGATAATAGAAATTAATTAGTATGAGTTGGTAAATATCAAATTGAACAAAGTTTATACTGCTGTACACATATGAATCCAAAAATGGGAATGTACTATTGGCATTTTAAAAGTGGCAACCTACACAAAAACCAATGGCAACTCTAATGGGCTGTATGAATAGAATTAGAATAGAATGGACTATTGAGCCTAGAATTGATGGGTACCTTTACTAAGCCAGCTCAAAATTCACAAAAATATGTGCAAGTTTTAAAGTTGTCCAGAATACTTAATTTACTAGTAGCAAAATAAGAGAGGGATAGCAAAAAAAACATCTGTACTCAGTTGAAACACAGGAAGGGATTGTGGATTTTTACAGCATTTTTTTGAACATCTTGTCAAAACAATCTACCATAATGGATCAGAGTGCAGTTATTATATAATGTCCTTTATATGTGGCATTTTATGTTTTTAAAAAATGGAACATGGTGAGGATAACGAGCTTCAGTAAACAGCTGTTTGCTTGATATTATCCAATTTGTTTATAATAAAATGCTAAATTTAGTTTATGCACTACAGCTAATTTTTGTCTAGTAGTTAGTTCTTAGTTGAAGCACCCACCTGTTACAGCTTTTCTGCCTTGATTGCGATAGAGCAATTATGATCTCATCTTCACCATGTGAATTATAAAGAACTTTTTTTTTAAAAAAGCTGCTGCTTCAAATAATTTGTTAGCCTTTGGGGTTATTTGTAGAATTGCTGAACTCTAGGAAGTTTTGCAGCTGTGCTGTGCTTCTGTCAGTTTCTTTAATTTAATGGTAATGATTTTTGCTTATAAGATTGCATGTATTCTACATTTTGCCTCTTTGCTATGTAAGGAACAGTTGTTGCTTCTACACTTTTCCTAAGTTATATCTATTACAATATTCTAAACAAGCCCAGGCTATGCACTGGAGTAAACGTTATTCTGTCTCTCCATATTGGATAATGCCCTAATGGGACAGGCCTTCTTTAATATATTTGCGAAAGCACTGTTTATCCAAAGAGTAGTGTGCTTTTGCAGATTATATGCTTATTTTTTCTGATGAATAGAAGTCTGTGACTATATGAAACTGCTGATATGACACTCCAAAATAACACATTAAGCGTAACTATGTGTTTTCTGTCAACTTTGACAGGAAGGTTAGTGAACGGTGCTGTGTGAAGACATTTTTTCTCTAAATCTAATAGTTGAATAATTGCCCAAATATGTTGATGATTTATTTAAATAAATATATGTGCACCTAATTCTTTTTTGAGTTAAAAATGAGGCAAGTATGAACATTTACATTTGGTGCAATACACATTCTGTTCACTTAAAGTAACCCTTTCATTTAGAAATGCAGCAGGGTAAAAATCAGTGTATCTTATTATACCATATTGTCTTTGCATTTTTGACTAAAATAATTTTATGTCTTCCAATATAAATTTGGTTTAAAATAAGGCAAAATGTAGAAACAGTATACTGTGGCAAATAATTTGGTGTAGTATGCTTGTTTCAGTTAGTAGAAACTAAGCTTATTAGCCTGTTATGGCATGAATGCCTCAGATGTTTCTGCTATGCTGAGAACAATTATTTATCTAAACATAACATGAGCATTAAGAGGAAACCCACTGAAGCTGATATTTGATTACAACAGTATTTAGTGTGGTTTTGTTTCTGAAAATGTTTTCCTTTCTTCAGTGCTGTATTTATATGTAAATGTGAAGAACTAAACTCTTTATAATGTCATATCAAAAAATTAATTTTAAAGCTCTGTATAACTACTACTGTAATTTCAAACAGGAGAGTGTATGGGAATAGACAATATGTGGTACAAGTCTGACTTGAAATCTAAGCCTTCGGTATATTGGATCTCTTTCTCACACAATATAATTTTCTCTTGACAATACTGGTTCTATGAACCACTTTTAAACATTATGTATTAAAATGCTTAACTTCTATTTCCACTGATTTCTCAGGCTTAGGTTTCTAAGATTCTATTTATATTAATTTATTTGTATTGATAATTGCAATTATACACCTTGTAAACATTTATGAACTTGTCACAAACACTTAAGGGCCTTATTAAAATGGCAAGTTTTAAGTTTAACATTAGCTTTATAATGTCAATGTACCATGGTTTTGGTAATTCTTTACAAGTATACGGCACATGTTTCCTTGACCTTGCTGTAATTATTAACAAATTCCACATTTGTTTAAACTGAGAGATCAATGCAAACTTAAACATTAGGATTAAGAAGAAAAATAACTATAATTACTATGCTGGATATAGTTGTCAACAGATGTAATGGTACCTGCAATACCAATAGTCCTCAGGTAACAACCCTTATTGGGACTGGAATTTTTTTTGCTAAGCAGAGGTCAGTAAGCAAAGCATCACGTGGCAGTGCTGCTTAACAATGGCAGTGACAGCGGTTGTTAAGCAAAGGTTTGTGACTATGACTTGGGTCTTCCTGCCAGCTTCTCCATTGACTTTGCTTGTCAGAAGCCAAAAGGGAAGGTCACAAATGGTGATCACATCCCCCATCAACTCCCACCATGATCCAAACTATTCTCAGATTAGTCCCTGCCAGTCCCAGGCCTTGATTCTTCCAAGCCAAAGGACACTTTCAGGGGATCACTCAGCCAGAAGCCAATTGTTCTGTTCAAGCTGTGTCTTGCTTCAATCTGCCTCTGTCTTCCCCTTCTCTGCTTCACCTTGTACAGCATAGTCAAGATGAAGATGTTGTTATATTCAGCCACTCTCTGCTAACCATCATATCTTCCTCTCCTCCCCTGGGCTGGCTGAGGATGGCTGGCTTCAAGGCCATAGCACCAGGGATGGCGCAGCAGCAAGGGGCAATGGCAGAATAAGCAGCATCTTTATCTTGGCCATGCAGTGCAGGGTAAGCAAGAGGGCAGAGGTGAGCCCAGTGCTGTCAGAGCCCCTGTGCAGTGGGGCTTGGGGCCAGCAAGCCCAGGGGAGGAGAGCAAAGAAGACCCAGATCAGCTGCGGGTGGGGACAGTGCAGTACAGTGACGTCTTCATCTTGGACATGGTGTCTAGGGCAGCCTGAAGGAAAGAGATGGGGGGAGATAGGCAAGTGAGGAGACCTGAAGCAGAGGCTGTTCTCACAAGGCAAGAGAAGGTGACCTCAGGGAACTACGATGGTTGTCAATGTGAGCTAGTCACCAAGCATCCAAATTTTGATTCCATGACCATAGGGACACTGTGAAGGTCATAAATATAATGCTGGTTGTAAGTCCATTTTTTCAGCAGTGTAGTAAATTCAAATAGTTACCGAATGGCCATTATCCAAGGCCTACCCATAACACATTTAAAAACAAATTATTTCCTTTTAAACGAAACCATGTTTCACAAGTTTCCTGTAATCTTATTACATCAATATTTCTTATTTTGCCTACTTAAAAATGTTTTTATATTTAGCACAATATATCTGCAATATAGTCTTATCATTACACACTTGGAATTATTGCACAAGGAATATCTTAATTTTGCAGAACATGACAGTTTTAAGTTAGCTGAACATCAGAACATCTTAGAAGTCTTTTTCATTTCAGTGAAGACATCTCCAATCCACTTAATATACTTTTTCGCTTCCTCTTCAGTGGTAAAGAATTTTTTTATATTTTGAATTTGGAATCTGTCCTCGTGATTTCAGTCGTCTGACTGCTTCACGCAAATGCTTGGGTTGCAGAGGTGGCGATTCTCCCCACTTTTCACATACATCTAACGCTGTGCAAGACAAAAGTAAATCTGTTACGCTAGCTGCCAAGTCACTGGATTAGAGCAGATGTGATAGCAAAATCCATCATATTTCTACATTTTAGCAAAAGTAGTTACCACGCATCTACAGCTTTATTACTTCTATACTCTGCTTATTTTGTGTAGTTTAGTGCAGTGTACATAATGCTTCTGCCTTCTGTTTTCCTCACAACTAGTAATCAAGGAAGGGGGGTTAGGCTATGAAAAAATGACTAATCCAAATTGGTCAACTTGATGCCTAAGGGAGGATTAGAACTGTTTCTAGTGAAAAGCATTTTAAACACTGCACCAAACTGGCCTCTTAATGTTCCAAATTCTAATAGCCTGTGAAAATTAACAAAATTACCGGCAGTTGTCTTTGCTGCACAGCATACTCCATATTTACACACATACTTTTGTAAAATAGTAGGGGACATTTGTTCTGTTTGTAAGCAATGGGTGGTAAATAAGGAAAAGCATTTGTGTGTATAATGTATTCCAGTTATTATATAAGAAGAAAAATTATCTGAACATTAATTTTATCCATTTATACTTAATTTAAGTGTTCCCTTTGCCAACTAAAAAACAAGCAAATATACAACTGATATTTGTTTGCCTTGATATAACAATCTCGTTTCTCTTAAAAATACTGACCTGTTATGCATTAAGTAGCAATATACATACTAGGGGGAATAATAATATTTAGGAGTAAACTAGTACATAAAATAGCAATGATGTTTTGGTTTTCTGACATCAATATAGCTACATCGCAGCTGGAATATAACATCCGGAAGACATTTTTACCATACAACTATTTAAAAGATGGCTTACTAAAAGCTAAATAAAATATATACATGAAAGAATACTTAGATTGTAGTAATTAGCAAGGTATGTCTTCAGTTAATGGAAGCTACAAATTAAGAATTAGATTATTCTTATACTTACCCTCTTCAACTACTTCTCCAACGAAGACTTTAGAAATTCCTGACATGGCAATAACAACGTTCTGAGACACGGAGGTTCCAGTAATTGACTGTATCAGCTGAGAAAGGAGGAAAGGCAATTCCAGAGAACCCCACTGTTTAGATATTTCTTTTACTTCCAATCATGAATACCACTGTGTGCAATAGCATTAGCACAGATGTGGGCAACATTCTCAGCAACCGTGGGGTGCAACTCATTTCCCCTATCATCCAGAAGCCACAAGTAACATAGCCCCACAGATGGTGAGAATGGAACAGAAAGTCTTTTGAAAGCAAACCCTCTCACTACTACTTAAGTCCTTAAAATCCATTAACTCCCCCTCAGCCCAACTCTCTACATTGAAAATGATGGCTTTAGTGATAGAAATGGAAGAAACTCCAGTTCCCACTTTACTTTTTAAAGGGAAAGGCCAGAATATCACATTGAAAAATGAAAAAAAGACAACCATTTTCAGCAAACTTCAAGCGCTGGAAGGCTGCAGAGATCTTCCCAGGGCCACATGTGAGTTACCCACCTCAATGTCAGCAGCAAACTGTTATGGTAAATTGATACTGAGACAAGTTACTCGTGCATGATAATCAATACACATCAACAATTCTGTGAGGGAGATGGGCGGTTTCTAAATGTGATAAATAACTGGGGACTCTGGGGCTCTTTGAGCTTGGTTGTTATAAATAACCAACCAAATAAATAAATATAATTGCAATAAATCAATCTTACCCGTTTAATAGCAGCTTTAGGGAAAGCTGATCGTCGATACATCTCATAACGATTTAGCTGTTCTTCAGAAAAAGAGGAAACCAGAATTCTGCAGCAAACAATAATTGCAGCACTTATTTAAAATTACCAAGTGAGAAAGTTAGTGAGATTATATAACGTTCTGTTGATAAACACTGAGTTAAATCTAGCATTTTATTTCAGTGGTGGTATTTCCTGAATGTTGCTCTAAACATTCTGGTTAAAGGAGGGTGACTTTGCCTATTTTTCCTACCCTAGAAGCCTTCCAATGCAACTTATCACAGTGTCTAGAACAGGGGTGTCCAACCTTTCACCTTCCCTGGGCCACATTAGAAGATGAAAATTTGGTTTGGGCCGCACATAATTAAATTAAATAATTAATTAAATTAAATTAAATTAATAAAATAATAAAATAAAATAAAATTATTATTTATTATTATTAATTATTTATTAAAAATTATTTATTTTTTATTTTATAATTTTCCACCCAAATTTTGCAGGGTGGGGGGGGAGAGCTCGCCCGCCTCGCGCCTACCTCTCCTCCTGCAAATTATTTATTTTTTATTAATTTTCCACCCAAATTTTGCGGGGTGGGGGGGAGGGGGG